GCCTGCCCCCAATCCTCCTACACCTCTCCCTCGCCCATTATCACTGGAAAGCCAAAGAGCAAGCGGAGAAGTGGGCGCCTTCTCTGCTCCTCCTCCGTGCTGCTCACTGAGCGCTGGGACCGCTCCGGAGCGAGAAGCTGGGAGCCACCTCCGCCCCTCCCCCACCGCACCCCGCGGCGTGCCCGCACCCCGCCCCAGCCCTGCTGGTGCTGTACACTCCTCCTCCTCAAAGTTCAACCAACTTCCTAAGAGCCTATTCGTCCCACCCCAGGGGACTTAGAGCAGAGGATGCCCAGCAGTCCCCACCCCTAGAAAATGGCCAGGACGACTTGTCTTTTTCTTGAGCCTGGAACGCTACTTTCATGGAGGGTGGAGCGAAGCAACTGGCCGGTGGCAGCCGCTCCGCGGCGGGCAGGCTGGATCCGCTGCACCGCAGCCCCAGCCCTCCGCGTCCCCGGGGAACAAGGCTCCGGGAGGCTGCATCCTTCCTCGCAGCCTCCCATCCTGGGGAGTGACCCCGGCTGTTCTACAACGCTCAACCAGCGCTTGGGCTGTTCAATGGGTGTTCGCGGTGTGCTGCTGGGCGGTTGTCTCCTTCCTTTTCTAGATCCACAGGACCAGGCTTTACAGCCCCCCACTCCGGGCTTTTGAAATCTGCATTCTGAACCGGCCAAGCCTGATGATTATTAGGAATAAAGGTGACGTGCTAACAATTAAATAGGAAATCTCTATATCTTTTGTTTTCTTGGGAATCAGCATCTCAAAACATTTTTTGGTTTTTTTTTTTTTGAAAAGCTAAGCCAACTAGTGGTACGGGTTTCTCGGGTCCGTGCAAAGGCTTGGGAAGCAAGTACACTCGGGCTTTTGATGGTGGGGCGCTGCGAAGCGCCCTGAGGTCTCCCCAGCCTCGGGCGGAACTCATCTCCAGCACTGCTTGGACGATGGTGTTAAAGAAATTCTAGGTTGCAATTTGACAAACTTTTGCAAAGACAAGGACTGTGTCTCTTGTCTTTTCAAAGTCTCCATTGTAAAGGAATGTATTGTAAAAATAATAGCTGGAATCCGATCCTGTGTGCAGTCACTATGAACGGGAAGCAATTGGATACAAACAGCGCGTACGCTTGGGTCTTGCCAATTGGTTTCAAAAGTTAGGACCTGTCTACTACAGGATGGCCATAAAGTGCGTGTGCGATTTATAAACTTTATAAAACAGTAACGATTTTTAATTGCACACGAACTTTACGGCCACCCTGTATATACCCCAACCTGTAGGTAGCTCTAAGCTTCACACGGTTATCCTGCAAGATAAATGCTCTGAGTCCCATTTCCCAGCGAGAGAACTGAGGCACAACTGACACTTGGAACCCGAGATGTGAACCAGGTTTCACCTTTGAAGCAGACTACGAACTCTATACATTCCAGCACATCTCATTTTTTTCCTATTAAAATTATCCACTATTGACTGTCTTCCACTTTTTACTCTTACAATTTAGCTTTCACAGGTTTTGCTATTTTGTTTTAAGTATAGCCACTCAACTTAAATGACTACAATTATGTGGTCTTTTATAAAATTGTTGTTAAGACTCCCTGGCCCTTCCGCAGAGAACACCTCCGCCCTTGCTCTATGAGATCATAATGGAGGTGACACAGGTAGATGGGAATCTTGACCGGTGACAACCTCCCAACTCAAGGTTATAATGAAAGTTCTTCTGTACAAGAATTTAAACAAATGGTTTCCTTATGGAGCCAGGTTTTCAAATGGAATGATTTTTTGAAACTATACAGAAAAACACTATAGGAGTTGCTACCATCTTCATTTTTAGAAACAGGTCCACTGGTGGCATGTATGTTACAGAAAACTACAGAAATAAGCATTATAATCAACTCATAGATAATGTTTGTTATGATCAAAAATATCAAAGTATAAATTATTACTGTTTTGTGCTTAATCTCCTTAGCATATAGGGGCAGACATTAAATGGATGCAACAAATTAAAATAAACCTCAGTGCAGTCTTAGTCACACTTTTTTCTCTGTTGGATTCTTGTCCAAGTTCATCGTTTATGACAGTCATATGGAACTGGCTGGTTGACCTTCAGAAGAATATTTTATATAAAATTGAACTCAATTCAAACTATTGTAAGGTACAAAAATTATTTCTGCACATGGCCAATTACAATATATGAATATAGCCCCCAAATATTAAAATGTATGAATATTATTGAATGTATAAATTAACTCCCATAGCATTTTTCTTGTAAATGGTCATAGCCCTTACATTTTCTGAATACATTATCAGTGTTATGAATTATCTACGGGTCCATTGGTGTCTCAGGAGCTAGCGGAGTCCTGATTCTTTACCATACCATAGAGCCTTACATGTGATGAGCACCTAGTAAGCCACAGTAAATAAATAACCAATGAGTGCTAACATTTCACAACACATTTTTGCTGCTTTATCTTGAAAAGCACTGGATTTCACATTAAAATATCTAGATTTTAGTACCAGATTGCTTATTACTTATTACTTTCCTGGTTTTCATTTCATTTTCATAGCCTTCAAGTTTATCCAATAAATGGGAAATAATCATGGCTACCTCAACTGATTGCTACAGGAATGAAGTGATATAATACATGAGAAATTATTCTTTACATTATTCTAATGAGTTATCATTTTCTTGGGCAGTTATATCACTTAATCTTGATTGCTTACAATTAATTATAGCGACTGCATTTAGCTACAAATTTGCATTTCATTGATGTTTGTATTTATTCTAAAACTTTACCAAAGTTGCTCTTGGTACATTATACAATACATTCAAACAGTAGAGAATATACAAGTAAAGCACCTATAAGCCATTAATATCTACTGATTTCAAACCTAAATTTAACTGATATCATTGACCAGGATTTGTTAATGGTGTTTGAATTATCCATTTTGTATTGACATAAAACTTAAAAGTATCAAGAAATAACTGGGAGTATTTTATTAAACCTTTCATAATAACAATAATACCTCATTTTTCCATAATATTTACATTAGTAACAGGTTACATTTATGTCATGGAAAAATTATCTGAAAATAATATTGGTAGTTGCCACCGGCTCCAGTTTTCAAAAAGAGGAAACCAAAGCTCACGGAAGTTAAATAACCTGCTGAAAGCCACATGTCAGGTAAGTCACATTATCTGGTCAAAAAGCCAGTTTCATTTCCTCTAAATAAAGGACTAATTTTTTTTCCACCTGATAAAAAAAATTCACAGGAAAGCTTCTTAGTAATTACATGTTTCATTTGTCACATGTGTACTTTTACTAGGAATTGCTAGGTCTTGTCAGCGATGCATTATTGATGAATAGAACATTTCAGTAATTAGACCTTCCCTAACACTATGCATTATGTCCTTTTTAATTACTCTTAGACTGTGCTTGACCATATTAAAACTTTGACTCATTCCTTGTTGTCAAGATGTAGGTCCAGGAGCTAAAAACAGCATTACTTTTCCAACAACAAGTTAATTATAACATTATTTCTGTAGAAATATTGAATAATATTCATTAGAACCAAATTCATCCCAGAATTAAGACTTTTCCTGAAAGGGTGTACAACTATTGAAAGGTACATTACTCTTGGGCAGCGCCTGTGGCTCAAAGGAGTAGGGTACCCACCCTATATGCTGGAGGTGGCGGGTTTAAACCCAGCCCCAGCCAGAAGCTGCAAAAAAAAAAAAAAGGTACATTATTCTCTGACAAGGGTCTTTTATGCTACAATATTTTCTTTAGCCAGGTAGTTATTATTGATTAGCTATAAGGTGACAATCAGGGGTTTTAAATGTTGTGCTAAATTTTTAATAAAGTGAATTTCTCTGTGTACAAACTTATTTTAGGCGAACGATTCAAATTTTTGAGTACCTGCTCCAGCTACTGTGTTATCTGGTCATCAAAGGCATTATATCATTCGTTTCTTATAAAACCTTACAAAGTAAACAGAACCATCCCCAGGTTACAGATAAGGAAACAAAGACCAAAAAGAGAACTCACCTGAGAGACACAAGGAGCAAGAGGAAACCCTGTGGTTAAAACTCAGGATGGTTCAGCTCTGACACCCTTAAACAACACCAGACTGCCTGGCCTTGCCTGGGATCTTTTCATCTCTGCTGAGCTGAGAGCCCCACATTAATAGAACTGGGGAGTAGAGGAAGAGGTCAACCAGCCCCCCTGGGAGATCCCTGTCTCACAGAGGCTTCCATTTTATTACATGAGGAGAACCAGCTCACATACCGCTGGAATATTTCTGAGAGTTAGAAACCTTGATACTAGTGTCAGCTCAGTTGGCCATCAACCAACAGTGGGGACTTGACCAAGCTGTTTTACTTAATTGAATCTGTCATGTTACTATGGTTTGGTCACGAAGTTTGGCTTTGCAGTGGAGCGCTGGACAGGGCCGTCACATCAACACAGATGATGAGGCAATGGCTATCCTAAAAATCATAA